TATATATATATATATACGTGTATAAAGCTTCAAATGTAACGATAGTCAGTTCATAATATATATATATATATATATGGCGACGCAATTTTCACATATAATTCGACATGTGAACGAATATTTAATGAAATATAATAGTTTAAGAGTAATTCCTATCTAGTTGGGTGTATATCTATATCTATATATATTCTATATCTGGTTTACTATGCTTCTAAATTTTTGTATATACTTCATCTTCCTTTGTATCGTTCACTTGCAATTTGTAGGTTTTTTTAAAGCAAATATGGCATAAATGAAAAGACTGTTTGAGACACCTAGAAAGAATATGTTGCCAAGATTAGGCACTTCGGCATGTTAACCGTTCAGAGTTGCCCCCGGTGGGGCAATGGAATAGCACACAATTAGCATTAATATGAATATCACGCGGCGCTTGAAACGGAACGATAGAAATCACTAGATAATAAGCGACAGCGACAACGGACAACACCGAGATGAAGGCGAAATAAAAGCTGATTTTTTTATAGCAGAGAAAACTAATGAGTTAATACTGCAAATTCTGATACTGACGATACCTGCGAAGACAGTTGTCTGGGAATGCGACCAAAGATTAAACACAGAAAAAATGTAACATAACATTTGTATACAATTAAGGCTCATTATGAAAATAAAGTAGTTGTTAAATAAAATATCAGTTATGCGGTGTACTCATTTCTACTGTAGTAGTTTAAAAACACGAGCTACCTTCAAGTATTTTACATCGGCAGTTATCCAATAAAGCCTTGTGAAAAAGTGTAGAGTTTAAACAGATGACAATCTATCTTAATTGCTGATATGTAAGATTAGCTTCTATTTAAACGCGTTTAATTAATTGAACGCGTTAATTATTATCAAAACTGTTCTTCAACTTAGACGCGACGCTAGGTTTTGAAAGTTACAGCGCTTTGTTACATTCCTTTTTTAATACAGAGTTAATATGAATAGAATCGCATCTGCAAAACTCAGAACATCTGAGCATCAATTATCTATAAATTCCACAGAAAAGCTTCGATTAGCCCTTCATTTTAGTGTTCATCATAGTGTTTTATTTGTAGATGAATGTATGCGTAGAATAGTAAGTAGACAAAGCTAAGGCGTTTTAAATATTTGCGGGTTTTTTGTTGTCCCACTTGTAAATTACACGCTGACTTAGAAAAATACTCGAGTGACAACCGGCATACGTGACATCTTGTTTTTTTAGACTATGCTTCAAAGCTCAACGTATCAAGGCTTGAAGGAACTCTATTGTCTTTACAATGCATTGCATATACTATTGTCTGCGACAATTAATAAACAGCCACCATGCAAGCTGGTGCTACAGCCATGGTTATTAGAATGGACAAGATGCACCTGAGCATTTTGCTGATCATAATCTAGTCATCAAAATGTAAAGAGAAACAAATAAATTTACTCACAATTTAGACTAATCTGTTATCAAGCCTTGCATTTAGTTGCCTTCTGGCGGGATTGGACCTTTAAGACATTGTGCGTTCGTGTCGGTGGCTCTTTAGAGGTACTTTTTACCAATTCTTCCCTCATTTGAAGTTCAGTCGATCTCTGTCGACCCTTGCAAAATGATTTGTGAGATGAGATCCGTTGTTGGATCATCCGAAATCTCTACAACCGATTCGATTGTCTCAGTCACAACCGTGTCTTCAACAGAAGCTACTATTTTAGCGGAGACTACTGATGCCTTTTCCGCCTCGGCAACACCACGGACTGCCTCACCACTTCGAGTAGTCTCTTGGACATCAATATTATCGTGATCAACATCAACGCTCGTTGTTAGAGTTTCCTGAAGGTAAAAAAAATATTACAGCCTTATATTATGCTACATACATTTTACAATCTTATTTAATTCGCATTATGCACATAAGCTAGACATTAATTCCATTAACCTTGTGCTAAAGCACACTTTCATTCGGCTTTCTTTTTCCTAGTCATCACTGCTCACAGAAGCCAGCACAAAGCTCTATAGAAACCATTTTCATTACCTGAGTAAGAAGGCCATTTCCGTCTGTATCGGTAATCGGTTGCCGCTGTAGTTGTTCATGTTGATTCTCCAAACATTTAATAGTTGTATTGTTTTCAACCATCGATCGTTGAATACGACGGGCTCGTTTCCGTTTAGGTCCGTCTTTGTGAGCGTGAAGAACGTGTAAACGTAACCGGAACGATGACAACATTCCTTTATCGCAGAGCGGACAAAAGATCTTGTATGCCTTCGTATGAACGGATACGACATGGTTGTCACGCGAATTTTGCGAGTGGAACTTTTTACCGCAATGTTCACAGGCAAAAGACTGCTGCTCTAAATGCTTTCGTCGAATATGATAGCTAAGAAGAAGCTTTGAACGGAAAGCTGTCTCGTGACAGTAATCACATGTGAAAAATTTTTCTGCTGAGGGCTGATTTGTGGCCGGTGAATGAACGGAGGCCTGGTGTGCTACAAGGTTACTTTTGTACTTAAACCGTAGTTTACACTGGTCACAGTAAAATAGCCAGTAAGGCTTGCGTGGCCTTGACTCGGCTTTCGAATGACGAAGACGATGTACACAAAGCGATGCCGCTGTTGTGAAGCTTCGCCGGCACGTTGGACACTCGAAATTTCTTGCGGTTAGGTGGGTTCGTCGATGGTATTCGAGATGGGCAAGTGATTCAAAGAAATACCCACACGTCGTACACGTGAATGGCTCAACATTTCCGGAGTGACACGATTCCACATGATGAGCCAGTCTTGACTCGTTAGGTAGCCGACGTCCGCACATCGAACACGATACATGCTTCTTAAGATGCCGAACATTGATGTGTCGATTAAGTACATCGACTAATGGAAAACTCAGGTCGCAATATGGACACTTCAGTCGCTCACGGTGAGTGGCCCGATGCAAGCGAAATCTGTTCGTCGAGTATGAGCTGTACTCACATTCGTTACAGCGGAACCTCGTTATGCCGGCATACGGTTCTGTCCCGGTGACGGCCTCTGCATCTTCGAAGTGAACTATGGCCAAATGACGTTTAAGACGAAGTTCAGTAACGAAGCGGTTCTCGCAAAACTCGCACTCGTAATTTAACTTCTGCTCATGAGTCTTCTTCACGTGTTTGTGCATCTGAGCTACCGTGCGGTATCGGCGATTGCATACATTACATTTCACGCTTAGTTCAGTGTTCAAGTGACGTACGGCGCGATGCGCGCGTAGGTTGCCAGAGGACGATGTGTGAAACTCACAGAATTCGCATCTGTACGGTTTAAGCCTGTGATGGTTATTAACGTGTGTTCGCAATGAACTTGTCGAAGCAGTCCATCGCCCACAGATGCCACATTGATAACCACGGGATGACGAAAGTAATGCCGGTGGAGGCAAGGCAACGTGTACGAGCTGATGTGTCATATGCACCGTTGGATCAATGGTTCGGAATGGGCAGAGTGGACATTCAAATATCACCGCTTCGAGATGAGTTGTCGACACATGATCAAGCAGGAGATCAGCGGATCCACAGGTCGCACCACAAAACGAACATGTTCCCGCTGCAGCCAAACATTTTGCTTGATGTGTAGCTAATGCGGCCGGTGTGCAAAAGGCATGAAAACATGCCTCACACGAATTGCAACCTAAAAGATTGTTCCGTGGGTGAATTTGGGCTAAATGTGTTTGCAGCTCGGTCGCTGAATCAAACATTTTATTACAACGCGTACATAGCTTAGCGGCGTGACGTGATTCGTGTTCTTCAAGAGCAGGCTCCGAAGGCAACCGTAGCCCGCATGTACTGCACGTTAATTCTATTAAATGAACGCTATCTTCGTGTACCTCAAGTTTCTCACGATTAGAGAACGACAGGTTGCACCGCAAACATGCATGGCCGTGTTTCGCATTCAGGTGAGTGCTTAATAGGCGTTTGCTAGCGAAAAGCTGGCCACACGCGCCACATGAATGCATACTGTGCAAGAGGTAGACATGGAAATCTAACAGCTGACGCACATTGGTTGCAAACGAGCACTCCGAGCAGCGCAAAGGCGTTTGCTCTGTTTCAGTAACAGCAGCCGTGACCGTACACGCTGAACTCTTTGGGCAAGCTCGATCATGTATTGCTAAAGTTAACGGGCACGAGAACGAGCTTCGACACATCGCACAAGTCCATTTCTGCAGCGTAGAGGAAGTAGCATTGGTTACCGGTTGACACGAGGACGGAGCAGGGCACGCGGTCACTTCTTGACTGTGTAGTTCCGAATGAATCTCCATTTCTTCTAGTCGACAAGTAGTAAATGAGCAGAAATAGCATTCATGTAGTCGACCAGCTTTACTCGCACGGCCATTTTGCACCACGGGACACGTGCCGGACACGACTTTTTTGGCCGTAAAGCAAGAGTCCACGAACTGATGGCGCTCATCCAAAGCTGAGGGGCAAGGAGGTGTTAAGGCCTGGGCCTCAGTCTCGACCAATCTTACGTTTGATGTACATTTGATAGTTGCTCTTGCTATATTGAGCCTCGGTATTAATCGCAGGCGTTCTAAGCTGTACGAGCCGCCGGAGGCGTGAATAGCAATGATGTGTGCACGAATGCTCGTTTCCCGAACACTGCGAAATGTGCAGGATTGACAGCAGTACACAACGGTGCCTTGCTCCGAAGCAGATTTTTTGCAAGAAAAGCCACCAGCGAACGCCTCTCCTGCACGTGATAGCGTTCTCGATTTGCTCGCATCTGACATCTGTAACAGAACGAAAAACATTAGCAACAAGCAAAACTATTTAGTAGTTACAGCATTTATTATATCACCTATAAGATGTACACTGGGGAAGATGAAATAATTGTGAAATTAGTCCGATCGGAAAGCCGGGTTGCCACTTAGGAGTGTCTCATTGTATATAGTCATCAAAATCGCACATGTAATGCAGTTCAATCGATAGAGTCTTGCATCTTAAAGGAGTGAAAATCACACAATTAAAAAAAAAATACTATACATTGACTTTTAAGTGCACAGTGTTAGTAGCTACATACAGTATAACCAGTATTTCTTATTAAATTAAAACAGACAATGAACGATGCTACACGTAGCTTTTACATTTTTAATTTATTGGAACACAACAACTTCCGGAAAAGATGAAAGAAACGACTGCGTTAACGGTGCAGTCTGCTGAAAACTCACTTGTTCCAGCGGAATAGTTGCGGACGCTGAGGTCGTACACTGCAGAAAGCGTGACATAATAGTGACGCTCCTATTTCGATTTAGCGATAAGGCGTGAAAAATGCGCTCTTGTAGTACACTTCTGAAATCTATTCGGAAAACCGCAATTCAACTTATGGCTAAACTTCAGCCAAATATTCTCAAAATGGTTTGCTTAATTATATATA